TTTCTTTATGATATATAGTTACAATTTACAAGGTTTGATTTCTTACAGCAATGATATATGTCAAGTTAACCAAATTTTTAAAAATAAAATAACTTGTTAAAATTTGATTCGCATATTTCTTGTGTTTTTTCGAAAATAAAAACCGAATAAAATAAATTCTAGAATCATGTATAATTTTTGTTCTTCGTTTTAATTTTGCTGGAAGAAGATGATGTCATTTTTGTTTATTTGGTTAGAGTGATAATACCACTGATACTAATCAAGATTTTAGATTTTAGCTTTTGTGTAATATGTAACCAAACAGATCTTGCTTATCTTTATAAAACCAGATCTATTTTTTAAGTAGTGTAACACTGTTGATGCTATTTTAAACATATTATCCAAAAAAACAATTTTTATGTAATATTAGATAAAATGATATTCTTTGCACACAAAAAAAATTATATTCTCTCCTTTGTTTTTTTTTTTTTGAGTAAGAACCACCCGGTATCCAACTGCGCTTTTTCTGAGCCCTAACCTCTTTTTGGACTAGGTACCCGAGCGATTGACTAATCCGGATTCGGGCCGTGCGACAAGGAGAGCCCTCCACGGTATCCTTTTTAACAAGTGAAGATTCGAACCCCCACCCTCAAAGAACAGAGACTCGCCCCCCTTGTGACCTAGTTAGTTACCACTAAACCAGAAGTATTCGGGTATATTCTCTCCTTTGTTATGTCGATCGCTTCACATTTTATTATTAAATTAAGTTGTCACGGGCTGGAAATCATGTTTAACTGATCATGATTAGAGAAAGATACGAATACAGTCATCGACAGATCAGAGTCCTGAAAATTATTCCTTGTTACGTTGACCAGAAGAGTTTAATGTCTGAATTGTTTATAATAGTACATTTAAGGTCAATTAATTAACTTCTTAAACTCTCTTAATAATTAGACAAATGAGGCACTTCCAAGTGAGGAATTCGAATAGATATTAGTATTTTTTGAAGGCAGCACTACATATTAGTATTTACATATTTATTCACACGAATATTTGACGAGAAAAATGCAACGCAACTTAGTGAAGTCCATAAAGCATAATAATTGTGGAATTATTATTATTAGCAAGTTACAAAATAATGCAGCCGCACTAAATTCATACAAGTTAATCAACTGAGTTAGGCTTAATTAATCAATTACAATGATGACCAAATCCTGCTTAGTTTGAATATGGAATGGTGCCATTTCACAGCCAGCACGAAGTCGCAGGACATCTATCAGATTCCAATGTTCCTAATCACCGGCTGGCCGTTCCCTTGAAACTCCTAAACCATGTTGCTCCCAAAAAGACATTTATTCCACACGTTTGGAATATGGCATACACCCAGACCCGTTCTCAGAAAATATGCCATAATATATTTATATATATATATATTTATATATTACTCCTCTGGTCCTATTTATAAGGCACTTCCAACATGTTTCACACAGACCAAGGAAAACCTTAAACTGCATTAACTCTCCATTAACATATAGCAACTTTCCAATTTTACCCCTATTTAATATATACTCCTTTCAAAAAAGATAACTACTTACACTATAATAAATGAAGGACAAAATATTACATTCACACTGAAAAATTAATGAAGTGACTTATAAATAGGACAAAAAAAAACCTTTTCTCTCTGCCCTATAAATAGGACTAAAGGAGTACAATTCAATCAGAGGAAAACAAACTACTGTATATACACCACACAATACCACTTAGGGTGTGTTTAGGATAATGGTGGCATAAGTGACCTTTTTTCAATTTGACTTTTACAAAAATCAGATTGAGTAAAAGTCAGATAGTATAATGTTATTTATGTTTGGATTGAGTTTTGAAAAAAAAGTCAATCTGAAAAGCTGAAACTTATTTGGATGATAAGTGTAAAAACAAATTTGGATGTAAAATTTTATAGTCATTTCTAATTTGAAATTTTAAAATTTTAGAGGTATTTTTATGGGGATTTTCCTAATGTTTTATGGCAGCAAGAAATTTACTAATCCCGAAGACTTGTTGCTGTGTTTGGTGATTACGTTACTTCTCCTCTTTGATAGGAGTATTTGTCAAAAATTGACCCAATCCGATTGTCAAAGCTGATGTAGAGATCAGGGAAGCCTTCAAGTCGTTCACAGCCTGCATTCATTCATATAATTAATCATGTTCGAGATCAGAACAAACGTCGTAGAAGGTGATAGGGTGTTTTTACATATTTACTTCGTATACCATAAAATTACTTTTAAAACTATGATTTGGTTTCCATCCAAACAATGCTTGGAGTCATATGAAAAACAAGACAAGCTAAAATGCTTACACTTAGAATAGATTCAATGTGACATGTAAGAGTTTACGTACCTCCTGGACACCAACGCAGATTGTCCTTTCTTCCAAGTCATGCTCAGAAACTTTAGTTCTTCCCTGTCATGAAATCAGAGGAATCGAATGTACGTCAAACTAGGATACAATTTGTCGATGCTTCCCAAACCAGAGTTTCCTTCTAAAACTCTCTCCACTGCTCCTAGTGGGATTGCCAGGAAGCTAAGAATCTGGTCCATGAAATCTTCATCCACTATAGCAAACAACAATATTTTGCACTCAGATTTTGCAATCATTGTGTTCATCTTCATCTTCCTATCCTCTCCGTCATATACCTCACTTACCTCGAACGTCGTGGCTTTGGGATTCTCAGTGATTTGTTTCCTTCGTAATGATGAATCTGCAAGTGCCGTATTTGAAACCAGCGAGGTCCACTACCTTCAATTAAGGGACAAATTAAAATGTCTTGAGATGATAAGAAATCTACGAAACGCATTCACGGCACCCTGATATAACACTAAGATTGATTACCTCCTTTGAACTGATATAAAAAAGTGAGATCCTCGATTTTGTCTTTAGTACGTAGACTCTTAAGCAGACACAACGTTGTAGTCAGATTGACAGGCATTACATTCAAATCGTCATAAACAACAAAAGATACCTCCCGTACGTAGCCTTCCCCTGTATCATCTTGCAAACGAACGAAAAGTCGCGTTCAAATATAATTTTGCAGTTAACTGTAAAATAACGATAATAAAGGTATCTATATAATATATTTATATATATATATATATATTGCAAAAGAGATTATATATACCTCCACTTATCTTTTCGGCAAGCCCGTGTGTCAAATTCCTGCCGCATTTGCATTTTGTATTGTTGAAGGTGCTCAGCAGCAAATTAGAAACTCTACGGCAACGGGGCATGTCATGAGCATAAAATTTGGTGGGCTCAGTGTTGAGTTTGAGTTTTTGATTGTGACGTTCCACTGAGTTCCTTGGCCGAAGTAGCATTTACTTACGCGTCTCTGAATTCAAAAACTTGGCCTCCAGATTAGCCACACTTTGATACAAAGAGCTTATGGATCCAAATCTCAAAGGCTTCATATCAGAATCCTGATTCACCAGTCTAGCAATAGTTCCCAGTGGTAGCGTTAGGAAGCTTAAAACAACACCAACAAGATCCTTCTCTGCTTCGGCATAGAGCACAGTGTTTATCTCTTTGTCTACAAAGACCCTCAATGAAATTTGTTTCGGTGTTGCAGTTGAAGATGTTGAGTTTGAAGCCATGGTAGCAATCCTAACCAACCAAACCCAAAGATTGGAAAAAAGGAAAGTGAACGACGAAATAGTAAAGTTTAAGAAATGTGTGTGTGGATAAGGAGACACTTAAAGTAGGAAACTTTTAAAGTCACTTGTTGCCTTATTGGCTCTTGTTGTTAATTCATATAATGGCTGGTTGATTTGAATCTAATAATACCTAGGCCTTCATGACTCCTCGTTTGTTCGTCAACCCTCAAACGGGCTCATCGTTTGTGTTGCATGTAAATGCCACTGAATGTTGCACCCTCTCGTTACATTGGATCCGATTCTGCAACTCCCAACAGATTTTGAAATGATAAGCCTTTGATTATCACTTCACTGGCATTTATTACGATGGCATATAATTTCACTTCTTGTTACTATTTCAAGTTTGAATTTTCCTTTCTTTTTTCTATAATAAAATTCTTAAAATTTGAAGGAAAACAAAAAAGAAAGCTAAGGTTAATATATATATTTTACCTCGTCTCATCATTTTTTTTTACATTATTAGCATTGGTTTTTTATATTGACACGGATAAAGTAAGTTATTTTAATATTTTTATGTCATCATAAAATTTCCTTACATTTCCTTGTTGCGGACGGGAGATTGCACAGGAGATAGAAAATTTTCATTCATTTTATAATTTTTTGAAAAAAAGCGAGAAATATAATATGTGCAAGGGTTGAGTAAGATTAGCCTTATTTAATGGTTTCAAAATCAATTAAAGGGTGCTACAGCCTCAAGGAAAACCTGAAATAGAGGCGGGTTATTGTAATATTACAATACAATATAATAATGCAGTTACTCGCATATGATTATTGTAATATTATTCTCGTTTATTTTCCTTCTTTTAATTAAAAAAATCAATTATTGTGTTACTGTTATTCGCATAAAATAATTAAATTCTTTTTTTTTTGTTGCCAGCATAAAAAAATTAAATTCGACATGCAATAAAGTGTCAAAGGTTAGAACCTGAAGGTTTGCGGATTATGTTCTGTCATCAGAATTTCGAGTGCTCCTAGTGGCAACGTTAAGAAACTAAGAAGTTGGTGCATGAAAGTTCCAATCTACTTTGTTTCTCATATTTACCTATTTTTTCTAAAATAGTTTTTATAGTAATTGTATATGTTAAAAATTTCATAATAATTCTAATTAATACACATGATTATCAAAAGTATTTCAGAGAAGACAAAATTTATTTATTACAAATAATAACGAAACTAATTTTCTAAATTAACTTAAATGAGTCAATTAACTATTATATTAAAAACTAAAATAGTATTTAGAAAGTCAATTTGCAATTATGATTTTGCAAAAACTGAAAAATATGGTTACTTGATAAGCTCTGCACCAAACCACCATCATATAATTATCTATTCGATTAATCACAAGACATCACACATCTTCAAAACAAAACATCAAGGCCAACGGATGAAAGCAAATCAAGAAATTGATCACCAGTCAGTATAGCCACGTTGCTCTCAGGCTTCCATTTAGGCAACAATTACATTTCTGCTTTGCGTCTCTGTTTCACCTCTCTTCTTTAATGCTCAATAGCTCTTCTTTAGTAGTATTTGTCAAAAAAGTTCAGACCAATTCTCAAAGCTGATGTTGACACCAAGGAAGCTTTCAGGATGCTCAGAACCTGCAATACACATGAGTCTGATATAGCGAAGTAAAAACAGCCAAAATAAAAAAAAAACCATTTAACTTCTAATTTGCATCATCTCCTTTCTTCTCTGTCTAAAAATCAGAATATAACTGCATAGGGGATTTAATTTGATTGGCGATACTACGTCAAAGATTACAAAATACGTACCTCTTGTGCCCCAACGCAGATTGTCCTTTCTTCCAAGTCATGGTGATGCACCTTGAATTTAGCTAAAGATGACAAAACATGGTGAGATGAAAAGGGTTTCACAGACAGGTCATCGGCAACCATGAACTTGGTTCTACTCTTTGCATATCCATTGCCTGACTTTTCCTCCATTATTGGAGATTTAGGGTCACACATTCTTAGTCCTCTCGCAACAGGTTTACTAAACAACGTTTTACCGGAAGTCAAATAATATGAACGAACCAATTTGCTATAACAATAACTCAACTCTGACGGACACTTGAGTTCATCGATAGGTAACAACTGGTCATTCACTTTAAAATATGGTGCCACCTTGAGGTCGGTCAACATGTTTGTCATCTTATCTGACTTGAAGTCTCCGGTTGAATCGAAGTTGTTCAAACTGTTATATAATTTGTCCACACACACCAACCCAGAGTTTCCTTCCAAAACTCTCTCTACAGCTCCTAGTGGGAATGTCAAGAAACTAAGAAGCTGGTCCACGAAATCTTCCTCAACTTGAGCAAACAATATCTTAGACTTTGATTTTGATATCAATACCTTCATCTTCATCGTTCGGGTGCTCTCTCTGCTTCTTCTCTCGTCAGTTGTCTTGAACGAGGTTTCGGAATCCACAAGGTTGTGCTCCTTCCCTAACAATAAATCGGTGAGTGCCGTCTTCGACATCAACAAGCACTTGAGTAGGTCCAAAATCTTCAGAAATATAATAAAGCATCAGATGATGAGAGATAATAAGATCCATCACAGCGAAAAATTAATGTTTCCAGAAGATAACCTCATTTGAACCAAGAACCACAGTGGATTCCTGGGGTGGATCTTTAGAGTGTAGATTCTTTAGCAGACACAATATTGTCTTCAAATCAGCAGGAATTATGTTTAGATCCTCAGCAATAAGAAAAAATGCAGTCTCCTTTACATAGCCTTCCAATGTATGAAAGAAGCAATATCAACTGTCGAATCAAATATGGTTTGTTTAATGAGAATAACAAAACTATAAAATGCTTTGCAAAAGATATTATTACCTCTAGTATCACGAATTTCGTTTTGATCGGATCCACTGCATAACAACGATTTGCAAGCAGTCAGAAGGAATGTAGAATGCCCCCCACATTCGCATTTCAAATTCTCCGAACTGCTCACCAGAGAACCATCTTCATAAAAACAAGAGTCACAAGCATAATACTTGGTTGGATCAGTATCGTCAATGTTGAGTTTGAGTTTCTGATTATAACGCTCCATTGGGTTCCTTGGCTGAAGCAGCATTTGCTTGCATGTCTCTGAATTCAAATACTTGGGATCCAGATTACACACACTTGCATACAGCGAGCTTATGCATCCGAATTGACAGGGCTTCGTGTTTGAATCCTTACTCACAAGTCTGGCAATAGTGCCCAGTGGCAGGGTCAAGAAGCTTAAAAGAATATCTACAAAATCCTTCCCTGCTTCAGCATAGAGGACTCTGTTTTTCCTTTTTTTCACAACAACTCTCAATGAAATTTGCTCCGGTGTCGCAGTTGAATCCATGGGAGCAATATTACTAACCCACCAAAATCCAGCAGATGTTTCAGAAACCGCAACGAGGACATAACCTATTTGAATTTGAAATTGAAATATATATAAAGCAAGCAAGAAGATGTATAGTACCTGTATTAGAGAGTGGCCCTCGTTATGGAGGTTGTGGCTACGAACAAGGGCTCTTGAATTATTGGAAACTAAGGATATGACGAACTAAGGATATGACGAAGACTTTGCTGCTACTCCTTCATTGGCAAGGTAAAAGCCTGCACTCTTTTGGAGGTCAAAAAGTTGTTTCCTTCCTTGCTAAGTTAAGAATTTTTGTTAAATACCTTTTCTGCCCATCTTAGCCTCTTTGGCTCTTCTCCTTAATTTTCAGGGTCGCAATCAAGTACAGCATGTAATTACAATAATTGAAGAAAAATAAAATCACCTGAAACATGAAATAAATTATAATATACTACTTCCGGTCCTAATTATAAGAATCAGTTGGCTAATTTGAAGATATTAAGGAAGTAAGTTGAGTTAGTTATTTCTGGTAAAAAAAAAAGTTAAGCTAGTTATTTGTCTTAAATAGGTGTTGTCTTTCCTAAAATATACTTGTTAATCAAATGTATTGACTAGAACTATCATTGTTAGAAGGACTACTTCAAAAAAAAAGTATAAATATGAGAGACAAAGTATATTGGAGTATTATATTTATGACCAAAATAAAAGTCAAACAGGATCTTATATTAAGAACTGGAGGTAGTATATAAGACAGTACTTAGATCAAATTCTTATATCCGTTATATTAAAATTTTTTAATCACACATAAAAATATATAATTAAAATAAATACATGTCTTTATTTTTTAAGTTGTGCTCGCTGATCTTATAAGACATAAAAGTCACTCATCATTGTTTTTCTGATAAGTTTTTTTAGAAATTCATTAATATAGCCATAATTATATTAATAAGAAAATTATCTTACATTTTGTTTTAAAAATTATACCCTAAATTCAAAAGAAAATCTTACTAGAACATATCCTATACGTATGAACGCAACATATAGTAATATTAAATTCATTATACAACCTTGTTTTATACAGACATGTGCCAGAGAACAAACCCTATTAGTCTTGTATCCACAGTGTTGCATAAAACATGAGAAAAACCGCATTGTTTATATAAATCATAATATCATTGGTTACAATTTTTTTTATATACTTATCTGACACGACTGGATTCCAACATTAAGAGTCAGGAGAATTACTGTAAAGTCCTAAATAAAAAACATAATTACTAAAAACTTCTAAAAATGATAAGCTTTAAGATTATAAATCACAACTTTGTCATTGAGACTTACTAGTTGTTGAGACCTCAGTGTATTTTTTGGTACAAGAAAATTTAGATAAGTTGGAATCCGAGGGCTTACCAGTTACCAGGACCCATGCATACTTCAAGCTCAGAAAGCACTTATAGAGTTCATTACAGAGTGTCTACTAACAAAGTTCTTACATCAATAGCAGGATTTAAATTCATGATCTTGTGAATTATTAGCCAACTTCTTACCAGTTAGATTAACTCTTGTTGGTACCAGTTTTATGATCCTGTTGCTTGGTGTTTGGTGTTGCTGGGGCCTGCTCTTATCCACAGGCCTTGCCTTGTCTCAACAAACGGTACCATACATGGGCTTATATTTAATTATTTATAATCCCCATTGGACCGTATATAATTTTTTTGGGCAAAACATTGGACCGTATATATTGAGGATTGAAAATATATTATCCTACAATATTATAAAGTTATTAGAACGGCAACTAGATGCGAATAATTCTATAAGTATTGTACTGAAATCTTTCTGAACAACTATATGTTGTAAACACATCATGATTCATTTTGTGAAAGGGTGAAGAGCAGTTTACTCTTATTTTGGTATAGTAAAAATAATCATGCATCAATTGAAATTGATTTTCTTTTCAAAAGATCTTAAGAGATTAAACTTCATTTTATTCCAGTTTTAAGAAAATCCTTTGTCTTGTTGATTATTGACGAGAATGTGGCTTTTTCGTTCTTTCTCCCAATAAGCTATAACCATTAAAAGTTAAATTTAAAATGTTGTAAATTTCTTTAATATTTTGCTAATTTTAATTGATTTCCTTAGTCCTAAAAAAGTAGTTAATAAAAAAGAGCGGAGAGGGTAATTAAGTTTGAAATCAAAAAATGAGAAGTGGAACAAATCCAGCTTGCTTCAACTCCCCTTGATTTAACAGAAACATATTTTTCAATTTTGATTTAACAAAAACTGAAAAATATGACCACCATCATAAAATTATCTATTCAATCAAAAGCCATCACACTTCTTCAAAACAGTACAAAACATCAAGGCCACCATGTGAAATTAAATCAAGAAACTGATCACTAGTCAGCAGCCACGTTGCTCTCAGGCTTCCATTTCGGCAACAATCATATTTCTGCTTTCCGTCGTCTTTGTTTCACTTCTCTTCTTTATTGTGTAGTAGTACTAACTTTTTAGTATTTGTCAAAAAAGCTCAGACCAATTGTCAAGGCTGATGTTGAGACCAAAGAAGCTTTCAGGATGCTCAGAACCTGCAATACACATGAGTCTGATATAACAAAGTGAAAATAACCACACAAAAAAAAAAAAAAAAACCGTTTAAATTCTAATTTGCATCATCTCCTTTGTTCTGTGTCTAAAAATCAGAATATAACTGCACAGGGGATTTAATTTGATTGGCGATACGACGTCAAAGATTAGAAGATACGTACCTCTTGTGCCCCAATGCAGATTGTTCTTTCTTCCAAGTCATGGTGATGCACCTTGAATTTAGCTAAAGATGATAAAACATGGTGAGATGAAAAGGGTTCCACAGACAAGTCATCGGCAACCATGAACTTGGTTCTACTCTTTGCATATCCATTCCCTGAATTTTCCTCCATTATTGGAGACTTAGGGTCACACATTCTTAGTCCTCTCGCAGCAGGTTTACTATACAACCTTTCATCGGCAGTCAAATAATATGAACGATCCAATCGGCTGTAACAATAGCTTAACTCTGACGGACACTTCAATTCATCGATAGGTAACATTTGGTCATTCACCTTAAAATATGGTGCCACCTTGAGGTTGGCCAACATGTTTTTCATCTTCTCTAACTTGAAGTCTGCGGTTGAATCGAAGTTGTTCAAGCTGGTATATAATTTGTCGACACACACCAACCCAGAGTTTCCTTCTAAAACTCTCTCTACAGCTCCTAGTGGGAATGTCAAGAAACTAAGAAGCTGGTCCACGAAATCTTCCTCAACTTGAGCAAACAATATCTTAGACTTTGATTTTGAGATCAATACCTTCATCTTCATCGTCCCAGTGCTCTCTCTACCTCTTCTCTCGTCAGTTATCTTGAATGGAGTTTCGGAATTCACAAGGCTGTGTTCCTTCCTTAACAATAAATCTGTGAGTGCTGTGGTCGAGGTCAACATGCGCTTGAGCAGGTCCAAAATCTACCAAAACATAATTAAGCATCAGATAATGAGAGACAATACGATCCATCATAGCAAAAAATTAATGTTTCCAGAAGATAACCTCATTTGAACCAAGAACCGCGGTGAATTCCTGGGGTGGATCTTTAGAGCGTAGATTCTTTAGCAGACGCAATATTGTATTCAAATCAGCAGGAGTTACATTTAGATCCTCAGCAATAACAAAAGATGCAGTCTCCTTTACATAGCCTTCCAATGTATCATCTGCATTTTGGACCAAGTATGAAAGAAGTAATATTAACAGTCGAATCAAATATGGATTGTTTAAGGATAACAAAATCATAAAATGCTTTGCAAAAGATACTATTACCTCCAGTATCACGAGTTTCGTTTTGATCGGATCCACTGCATAACAACGATTTGCAAGGCGTCAGAAGGAATGTAGAATGCCCCCCACATTCGCATTTCATATTCTCGGAACTGCTCACCAGAGAACCATCTTCATAAAAACAAGAGTCACAAGCATAATACTTGATTGGATCAGTATCGTCAATGCTGAGTTTGAGTTTCTGATTATAACGTTCCATGGAGTTCCTTGGCTGAAGCAGCATTTGCTTGCATGTCTCTGAATTCAAATACTTGGGATCCAGATTACACACACTTGCATACAGCGAGCTTATGCATCCGAATTGACAGGGCTTCGTGTTTGAATCCTTACTCACAAGTCTCGCAATAGTGCCTAGTGGCAGTGTCAAGAAGCTTAAAAGAATATCTACAAAATCCTTCTCTGCTTCAGCATAGAGGACTCTGTTTTTCTTTTTGTTTACAACAACTCTCAATAAAATTGGATCCGGTGTTGCAGTTGAATCCATGGGAGCTAAATTACTAACCCACCAGATCCAGCAAATGTTTCAGAAACTGCAATGAGGACGTAACCTATTTGAAATTGAAATATATATATAATATGTATTTATATATATATATATAGCAAGCAAGAAGATATATAGTACCTGTATTAGAGAGTGGCTCTCGTTGTGGAGGTTGTGGTTACGAACAAGGGCTCTTCAATTATTGGAAACTAAGGATATGACGAAGACTTTGCGACTCCCCCTTCATTGCCAAGGTAAAGGCCTCCGCTCTTTGGAAGTCAAAAAGTTCTCGCCTTCCTTGCGAAGTTAAGATTTTTCGTTAAATGCCTTTTCTGCCCATCGTCGCCTCTTTGGCTCTTCTCCGGAATTTTCAAGGTCGCAATCAAGTACAGGATATAATTACAATAATTGAAGAAAAATAAAATCACCAAAAACATGAGATAAATTATGATGTACATACATATATATATATATATAGAGGACAATATTTAGATCAAATTACTTGTATCTATTAAACCAAGTTCTTTAATTACACCTAGTCATGTGTTATACATGGTCATGTGTGGTTAGAGAATATAATACTCCCTCCGTTCTTTATTATAAGAGACATTTGATGCTTATGGCATGTTCCTATATATAAGAGACACTTACAAGTTGTCTTTACTTTTTTGTGTTGATTTACTATTTTACCCATATTTATTATCTCCAACTCACACTCTCTCTCCCTCCCACTTCTCTTTCTTTGAATAATTTAATTGTTCTCTCTCATACTCTCTCTCCTTATTAATGAGGGTATTTTTGGAAAAAAATTATACTTTTTACACATTAATTGTTCTTAACTAATTTTAACTGTTTTTTTTATCAACGTATTTCGGTTATTTGTCTCTTATAATAAGGAACGGAGGGAGTATAATATAATGGAAATAAAGGATTTAATCTAAATATTTTCCTACGTATAATTAGTACTAATTTAACAAACTTCTTTACTATACTCAAATTAGTCATTCAGATCCTAATTATAAAATCTTATTTGTAGATTATGAACAAAATCTTATAATTGGGATTAAAAATAGTATTAAGGACCGGAGGTAGTATATAACACAAATCTTTTAACATATTTATATTTAATTTTTTAAAAATATATAATTAAAATGAACATGTGTCTTTATTTTTTAAGTTGTGCTCGCGGATATTACAAGATATAAAATCACTCATCATCGTATTTATGATAGTAATATTAAATTCATTATACAATAGTGTTTTTTTTTTTTTTTGATACACTTGAAAGGGGAAAAGGCTAAACAAGACTAGGAGACGCAATGATTGTCTGCACCGCAATCGAGCTTAAAACTTGGAGACCCATTGCACCATTAAGAGCAAACTTTGCGAGGGAGTCAGCCATTCGGGTGTCCTCACGGCTGACAACCTGGAGTTCTACTTTCCAATTCCATTCGAGCATACTCTGGAGTTCCTGGATGACTTCTCCTTCAGTGTGTAAGCTGCTGTCACCTCCAGCGATAAGTTGAATGGCCTCTGTAGAGTCGCTAAGTAATATAATCTCACGCTCCCCTAGGTCCCAGGCTCGTTTAAGACCCACCAAACAACCCCATAACTCTGCCGTGAGGTGGTCCCCGTGATCTAGCTTGTGAAGAAATCCCTCCACTAGCTCGTTGTTGTGTCGTCTTAGAACACCAGCACAGGCAACTGTACCTTGGGTCACCGAGAAGGCCCCATCAACTTCCACAATCAGCTTGTCACCCATATCTGTATTCACCTGCTGTGACACATGGCGCTGAGTAGTGTTCATGTTTATTCCCCGCAACTTAGTTGCCGAGAGTTTCATGCAAGTCAGTATCGCTTGCGCTTGGGTTGGGAGAACGGAAAACTCGGTCACCTTGTTTAAATGAGTTAGTTCATTTCTAGCCCTCCAAATCAGCCAACACAAGACAGAAAACATACACTTCCATTCACCCTCTATTTGGCTGACGTTCCTTGAAAGATTCAACCGGAGCCAGTCCTGGGTTTCAACAGAGAAGAACCTGTGATAATATTCTGGTTTAACAAAGGGTTCCCAGAGGCGTTTACTATCTGGACAATCACGTAGTGCATGAAGTTCATCTTCCACCTCGTGTTTGCATTTATCACAAAGACCGTTATGATGGAGTCCCCGTTTTAGTTTGCGCTTGTTGGTAATAAGGCGCTCGTGGTGGAGGAGCCAAGTAAAAGTTTTACAGCGTTGAGGAATTTTCATCTTCCAAATATTCTTCCAGCTTATATGGGTGGGAAGGCTTGGGGGGTTTAGAACAGCGTAAGCTGATTTAGTAGAGAACGTACCACTCTTATGCCATTTCCATCGAGCTACCTTACCGCCCTCCCTATCATCCTTTTCTTCAATGCCCTCCTTCACATGGTTCCAATTGCTCTTGATTCCTCTCCATGTATTTGAGCCAGTTTTTGAGCATTGATATGAGGAATAAGGTCGTTTCCACAGCCATACTTGTGACGGATCACTTTAACCCAAAGGGCATCGCGTTTGGTAACTAGGCCCCAACCGAGCTTCATCATGAACGCTCTATTTTGCTGTTTAATGTGCTTCATACCAAGGCCTCCCATTTGTTTGTCCATGCAGATACCATCCCAAGAGATGAGGTGCATTCTTCGCTTGTCATCTGAGGAGCCCCACAAGAAATCTCGGGCTTGCTTCTCAATTTTCTTGCAAGTGCTATCCGGGATGTAGGCCGTTTGCATAGCGTAGGAAGGCATAGCATTTATTACAGAACTGACAAGAGTACCACGTCCAGCAAATGATAGATTATTAATTTTCCAACCACTGAGACGGCCTTTGATTTTATCAATAATAAATTGGTAGGTGCTATTTGAGACACGTTCATGGTGGAGGGGAGCCCCAAGGTATTTTCCAAGATTAGCAGTCTGCATAAATCCCAGTTCCTCACTAAGCTGGTGAGCTCTAGTGTGGTTGACATTTTTGGAGAAAAAGACTCGAGTTTTTCCTTGGTTCACTTTTTGTCCTGGAGCTTTGCAAAAATTTTGTAGGCACTCCTTAATAACCGATACTTGTTCTAGACTAGCCTCTGCAAAAATCAACAAATCATCAGCAAAAAACAAATGGGATATAGGAGGGCCATACTTACCTAGTTTAATGGCTCGCCATCTCCCAGAGTTCAATTCAGCTTGTATAATGTGAGCGAGTTTCTCCATGCAGAGCACAAACAAATAGGGAGAGAGTGGATCTCCTTGACGAAGTCCTCGAGAGGGATTAAAGATATTTGCTTTGTCGCCTTCCCAAAGAATTTGCATCGAAGGAGAGGATATACAAGAATAAATGACATTTTTAATCGAATTGGGCATTTTAATTTCATCAAGGCAAGCTAAGACGAAATTCCAATTAATCCGATCATAGGCTTTCTCCAAATCAATTTTTATTGCCATAAAGCCTCTTTTTCCAGACATATTATTCATTGAATGAATCACCTCCTGCGCCACTATAATATTATTTGAGCTTGTACGCCCCGGAACAAAACTGCACTGGTTAGGAGAAATAATTTGAGGAAGAAAATTCTTCATCCTATTAACCACCACTTTAGTAATAATTTTATAGATCACATTGCACAGACTAATCGGTCTAAAATCCTGAATAGTCTCTGGATGGTCTTTTTTAGGAATAAGCACAATAAAAGTATGGTTAATATTTTTAATAGATGAAGGATTAGCAAAGGCTTCTCTAACTAGCTCAATAATAGATTTACCTACCAATCCCCATTGACTTTGAAAAAATAAAGCATTTAAACCATCAGGGCCAGGGGATTTCAGAGCGCCCATGCTAAAAAGGGCAGCTTTTACCTCTTCTCCATTGATCTCTTTCGCAAGTTCTGCAAGATGCATAGTCTCGAGCTCAGGGTAGGAAACTCTATTCTCATTCAACTTGTCATTATATCCATCATCTTGAAACAAGTTAATAAAGAAATCAGTAGCAACCTTTTTTATTACCTCAATATTGTCTGTCCATTCTCCACTATCTTGCCTGAGAGCTTCAATTTTATTGCGTCGTCGCCGCCCATTAGCTCTTGCATGGAAGTATTTGGAGTTTTTATCACCAAGATTATACCAATCACATTTGGCTTTCTGAGCCCATAGAAGTTCCTCCTGAATGATCACCTCTTCTAGTTCTAGCCAAAGCTTTTTCTGAAGTTGTTCCAAAGAGGAAGATATACCGGTATTGGATATAGACCGTGAGATGCCCTCAAGTCTACCCATAAGTATACTCTTCTTTTTTCCAATATGGCCAAAGACATTTTTGCTCCAATCAATGAGTTCTTTAGTGAAGCTGTCGACATTTTCATTCCAGTTACTGTTGTCCTTCCAATTTTCCTTCACTAACCTGCTAAAGTCATCATGGAGAACCCAAGGTGCATTAAAACGAAAAGGTCGAGAAATAAAGTTCTTAGGGAACATACCATACCGAAGCTGGAGCAAGATAGGGCGATGGTCTGACTTAAACCATGGGAGATTTTTGACAATAGCATCAATAAAAGTGCTCCTTGCTCTTGAGTTCGATATAACTCGGTCAATTCTGCTTTCACACTTGTCCCTTTTCCAAGTGAAAAAAGGTCCCGAGCAACCCATATCTGATAATTGTAACTGGCTAACCCAATTGCAAAAATCTCTATCCATCGGGGTTACTTTGGCTGCATTGGATTTGCGCTCATGATAGAATAGGGTCGCGTTGAAGTCTCCTCCAATAAACCACGGCCACTGATTACCTGGGTCAAGCTGGGTGAGTTTACCCCACAAAGAGCGACAGATGGTGTAACATCCCAAATTTATTTAGGTTTTAGAGTTAGTTAGTTAATATATATACATATTAATTACATATATATATGTATAATGTTTGGAACGAGTAAATGTTCCCTTATTATTCAAAAGGTATATTAAAAAAAAAAATTAAATAAAAAAAAATTAATTGAAAAAGATAAGTTTGTTAA